ACGGATCAAATGAGATGGCATCCCACACTGCATGTAATAGTGTCGTGCAAATTTGTAAATCAGTGTTGCAGCTCCGCGTCATATTGATTTGACGTTGTCCACGCCATATAGTTGTGACGACAAGTCAGATCAACAAGCTGCACCCTTATATAAGTCCCTAAACGGTTACACCCTTATAAATTACACTTGGCAATGTCACTATCTATTAGAAGTAGTAAGATGTATTGAATCTGTAGAAATTGATACATAATTACATGTGTAAAGCTAACGATTACCTATCATAGCAATATTATTGTTTACGTCGTATTGCATTTAATCAGTCTCCGCCATGACTAGACAAATATATCAGCAAATACTGCTACACGCACGCAATGTGTTATACCCAAGGTCTCAACACACATTTTGCGTTTCCTATAGATTATGTGATGTAAAGTTAGGGCAACCATCGCAAATGAATCGCGTGTAAGAACGTCTAACTTGAAAGATATTAGGTGAAAATTACGTACATAACTAAATTAGCCAGTTCAGAATCGCCCATGTGTGAACCACCTACGAAGATCGATATCTAGGTTGTACGGTGATAAATACTAATCCTTACATACAAGTATTTAGGCAAAATTCTTTCACCGTATATTCATTTACAACATATTTTGTTCTCTAATTTTACAAGCGTAAAGTGCCTTAATTATAGCGTAATACCATGAGCACTTGAGCAAGTACTACTGTTTAGAACGTGTATAGATCTGTGATCGGAGTAAATAGTAGCAACTTATTTATTGAGGCTAATTACATTTGATTAGTGTGACTAGCTATGCAATCGATCGATATTTAAAGCACATTGCTGATGTAACTCAATCCACGTTAGCTTGGCTAGCACACATGATGTCAAAAAATATAAGTACTTTTGTTATTCTGATACAGTTCTCATTTGAATGAACAACGCATTATCATTTAGTTGACACCGCTTCCTTTTACGATAAGGTTTGGAGATACCTGTCGACACAAATGACAGTGTGCATATCGTATACCGTCAAAAGTTTAAGCGTAGATTTTCGTCACATTTATAACGAGATATTCTCTATGCGCTGAGGCAGATGAAATGTGGTCGCGGCAATATAAACATTCTTCGAGGCAGAGGATTGATTGACAGCATGAATTATGGTAAACAACAGGTGTTCGACACATGCAAGTACTAGGTTTGGCCTTACTAGATAAATGCGGTCGACTAATCTTTCTTTGAAAAGTGCCACGATGTATCTAAGAAGAGTAAAGACTACATTTGTATGTTACAATGTGAGTGTAAGCATGTGCATGCTAATAAGCTGTCTATATGGATGGTATGCAATCTCGGTACACTATTGTTTACCGTATCGACTCGTTCATTCCTCGACCATATTTTTCTGTGTTGTGATACCTTTCTCATCTAATCGTGTTTTATTGAATTATATTATATATATTTACTTGTTTAACGACTATCTACAATACCTCTATTAAACTTCGATCGAATCGTCGTGATCACGTAAATTTGCAATCTATACAAATAAATAACAATATTTAGGGCCAAGTGTATAGAAGATCACATCAATCATTGCGGCACTTAGTCGTATCCAATTAGAAGCTGGAAATGCTGTAAAATGATTTGTGGGTTTGTTTGTAGTATTCGCTTGCGAGGTGGATGAAACACTGCTACTCTGAATACTTTGTTACGAAGTGATAGTAGTATCTAACAATGTTCGGATACCTTATCCATTGAAAAAACAGCGTTTCGCCCCGGCCTAAAGTGTTGCATCTGACGGTGGATAGTACTATGGCATATTAAGGTGTTGGGGATTATAATCAGCACTTTAGAGCAGTGCATCCACTGATCCTGATGCATTTGATTCCAGCCCTGCCTACATAGAAGCGGGAGTGTCTACTGGCTTGTTTTCGACGCTGAGATCGTCATCGTAATGAGTTTTGACGTCGTGATTCTGATTTTGTCTAGACAATTCAAAGCATTTTCTCGACTTCGCAACGACATTTGTTAGAAATTTTGTGACGAATGTCTTCGCGGCACCGAAGGGGTGATTGACGACAAACGATAACACAATCTCATTCGCATACTTGATTTTTTAGCCGACTTCAATCCGCCGAACCTAATTCCACCGGTACGTCATCCCCAAATGCGTGCATTCAATTCGTGCGCTACGTTTGTATACATAGAGATAAGCAGGTGGCGGATGTGACAATTACGCACTTTGGTTTGTACCCATGTATGATCTCTCGACCTTGTCACGTCGCATCGCTCTTCTCCCATCATACTTTTTCTAGTCACGTGCCCCGACTAACATACAAAGTTCCCGGTTGAATGTTTCTGGTAAAGCTCGACGTTACAAGAAGAAATGACTGTAATTTTTGAATGTATAATAATGACGTGGGTTGTTTTCTGTTGTCTTTGCAGTTGCTGTTCACTCTCAAACGTTTTTTAAGCTACTCGTCACATTGTGCCTTATAATTTGCTCTCTCTCAACTTTAGATAGATAAAAAAGAGGCAAAACGATGTTACATTGATTTGTCATCTTAATTGACCACTTGCTAAGATACCGATCGTCGTATCGTTTATCTTCCATCAAGCTTGTTCGACCTTGTATAATCCAGAAACAGTGAAGCAAAATTGTTTTGATCTCGCAAAGTGTAATATTTGACCGAATTGACAAGCGATACAGTAGATTCTCCCTTATTTAATATGGCTGGGACCGCCAAATTTTGATCAAATAATTTTTTCCATTGAAGAGCAGAGTTAGGGAGATAGGGTTTAGGCGAAGGGTGCTACACATTTTCACCTCCAACATGGTCTTCATTGGCCTCACGCTCACAGAAATCGTCCGCAAGGTGATATGAATGGAGAAGCAGAGACGCCCAGGTCTCCCCCAGGAAGCTCTGTGTCGGTGGATGCTGGAGGAGCATGGAGTCACGGCCACCCAAGGGACAATACGCAATGTCCTGAAGCGTTCTGCAGACCTGCTAAGTCCAGCCAAGAGCGATTCAGCCCTCCATTCTAAGCGACAGCGTGCAGGTTCGTACCCGCTCGTCCAGACGGCGCTTGCTCGGTAAATTATTGAGTATCAGGGTGTTGTCAACATCAGCGGACACCTGATTCAGGAAAAAGTGGCATACTTAAAGAAGGCGCTGTATTCAACCGTCAAGGATGAGGATGCACCCCGCATTCTAAATCGGTTGGTTGCAGAAATTTATAAATCGCCACGGCATCCGCATGCACCATCACTTTGGCGAAAGCAGATCTGTCGACGTCGAAGCACCAGAGTATCCCTGCCGGAAATTTGCGCTCAATTGTACCAGTACAACGTCGCCGAAATCTACAACATGGACGAGGCCGGCCTCTTCTACCGACTGCAGGCCGATTCATCGCTTTCGACACACCAACTGGAGATTTAGAAGCAGAGCATACAGCGGATGACAATGACCATTTGCAGCAACGCAGAAGGATCCGACAAGAATCTGCTGTTGGTCACCGGAAAGTTCTAAACCCACGCTGTTTTGAAAATGTGGAACGCAGAAGACTGGGCGTTGTCTATCACGCCAACGATAACGCGTGGATGACTCGCAACGTGTTCAAACTATGGCAGGAAGTCTTCGCTAAACAAGTTCTGGTCGCAAGGTCATCCTGATCCTCGACAAATGCTCCGCGCACGTCAAGGAAGAGGATCTGGAAGACGCCGTAATCACTCTGCAGAATACAACGCTGTTGTATCTGCCGCCCAATGCGACCAGCACGATTCAAGCTTGCGAAACTAAATCATAAGCAACTTCATAGCGTATTCCCGCAGGCGCTTCCACCGCCAGCATCTAGATCGCCTTTAGAACAATGAGCTGGACGCAGCAAAGATCAACTTCTTGGAGGCGATTTTCGATGGCGCATGCATCATGAACTCTGGATGTGCAGCCTGAGTGCATCCGCAACATCTTTACGCACTGCAAACTCCGCACCTTCGGCATAGAAAACGCTGCAAACGCCAACGTGGACGTCCCGGAGGAAATCGTTGCGGACCTCCAGGGACATATTCAACAGCTTTATCGCAACCCGGTGTCTATCTACTTCCTTCTCAACAAACCCGACATAGAGCAGGTGAGCTACACTCCGACAGAGGCAGATATTCTCGAGAGCATTCAATTGCCAGAGTTAGCAATTGGCAGCTACAGCATGGAGGACGATAGCGTGGCCGGACCGCCCGTCCCTCTTCGGAACGCTGCATCGATGCTTGCAAAGCTTAAGACTTTCTGGTTGCAGCAGAACACTAATGAGGAGTTCTCAGGAATGATTCAGAAGATGCAGGATCAGGTGGGAAATCTTCAGCAAAAATCCCTGAAGCAACAAACTCTGGATGATGATTTGAAATGGTCCCTCGGCTGTAGTTTAACATTTGTATGGCGAATTTTACTCTGGCTGTCATAATACAAATTAAGGGAGTGTTTAAGAATCGGCCTGGGCCCAACATTCATTCAACCCTTTTATCATGTTAAAAGTTGTTTAACTTGGAGGATATTAAATTACTGAGACTATGCTGTGCTTCTCCAAAATGTAGATAGAGCGTGGAAAGAATTGTCTCGAAGTCTACACCTAATAAAGTGAATGGAAGGAACAAAAACTTAGGCACGTACCTTCACATCGGATTTTTAATTGCTCGAAAGTGACCGTAAACGCCTCACGCATTTTTTGTTTTGCGGCTCACATTTGATCGAGCATTGTGTCCTCACTTTGTTTTAAATGTGCTTTTTATCGAATCGTTGTCATGTAGCTATAAAATTGCAAATACTTGGCTGTCATCTAATTTCTAAATGTCTATTTCAATTTTGACAAGCAGAAAAAGGAGGTGAAAGTCGACGGGGCCTTTTCCGGATAAAGCTCCGGGCTCCTGGGTGAAATTTACTCCCATTTATCTCGATATTTTCCCGACGCTACCCACGACCTCTAAATAGACCCCATGATAGTTACCAGTGCCATGGAAACCCTGCGGCTCGCAGACGTCAAGCTCAGCAACGTGCGGCGCTTTGTATCGACGAACTTGTCGTTGCGTGTGGACGAAAGCTGCAAAAGATCCACCGAAACAGCTGCTGACTTTCTCGAGCGACGAAGAGCAGGTGCTCGAGGAGAAGGTGAGCGACGGCATTGCTGCGTACCGACGCGCTCTTTCGGACGCGCAGGACTCGATACAGGAGCTATTGAACCCGAAAGCGGTCGAGGACTCGCTGCAGAAACTCGAAATCCATGAGAAGCAGCTGCAGAGACATGTGGTCGAGTGCCGGAAGATGCTGGTGGCGTATCGCCAGCGGGCAAAGGTGGAGCGGCTCGAGCAGCAGCGCAAGAGTCTCTTGCCCTCCAGTGATCAATCCAGAAAGAGTCGCACAGGGGGCAACAGCGACAGTGCAAAGGGATCTTCTGGATCGGTTGTGGACGTCACAGCGGCACTGAAGCGCACGCGGCAGGTCATGTCACAGGAGATTGAGCGGGTCAGCTCGGTGACGAAAGTGCTGGACGATGGGCGGCTGAGCTTGAAGAGTTCCCACGACGAGTACGGCAGCGTGAATGCCGAGATCGAAGAGGTGCGGAAGCGACTGAAGATGCTCGAGTGGCAAGCGAGGCAGGACAGAATGTGGATTGGCGCGGGGGTGGTCGTCCTGATCTCGACCGTGCTGTTCATCGTGTATGAACGCACGGGGCTCATGTTCTTATGAGTTGCGGCCAGGCACGGATCTACAAGCTCGGTGCAGAGCTCGTCGGCTACTGATGAGATGTGACAGGAGCAAGCAATGCATAGCGATCGTGTCCACATTCATGATGGTCATTGCCGAATCAAGCGACACTGCAGGAGTTAAAGAGAGAGAGACAGCGATCGGGAGCGCAGGTGATGGCGAAGGTAGCGATGCGACGAAAGGCTCGCGACGATACAGCCGGCCACATGCGGAGGAGTGCTGGGTACAAGATGACTATGAACAAGACGCAGAGCTTCGTACGTCGCACAAAGTGTGGCCCGACCTCAAGCGGCAGTGGAATGTCGGAAGTAGACCATTGTTCGGTATTCAGCACGTTGCAGCAGGTTAAGCAAAGTCAAATGAGTCGCTTTTGCTTTTTAGCAGCAACTCAAGAAACAAAGGAGCAGGTCTTTTTTTTAGGTCTTTTTGTGTGCCTCACTGTTTGCAACTTTGTGACGCTGCTGCAATTGTCGTCCTCGCAAACGAACAGTTCCTGTACCGACGCCCCGATTGGCTGGCAAACGTAACATTTACCTTCCGGAGCCACTGTCGGTCGGTCGTCTTTTGTACCAATGAACTCAAATGGCTCCATTCGTCCCCGTCACCAGCCAATAAGACACACTCACACACTCACTCGACCATGGCGACCAAGACGACGCGCTTCTTGACGCAGTTTTCGCGCGCTGTGTTCGAGCAGTGGACGAAGACACCCGCGCGCGAGCAGTTCTGGCAGCATGAGCCGCTCCTGTGCTCGATGCTGGAGGAAGCGGTCGCCAAACTGCCCCGTGGGAAGCTCAAGCTGCAGCTCTCGCGCGACCTCTCGTCGCTGGCGACGCAGCTGGCCGCGCTTTTCCACGAGCTGTACGTGGACTACACTGCGACTCACGCACAAGCGAAGGAGCCGTCAGTAGGTCAAGGGAAGTTGGCGTCCAGTGCGCTACTGAATGAGGAGCGCACGGAGTTGGCGCTCACACAGGCAGCCGTCGCCCCTTTCGCTGCAGAGCATCGTCGACTGTTTGGCGTGTTGGCTTTAGACGCAGGCGTGGACGTGGCGCAGCGTGGGATGGACGTGCAGGAACAAGATGCAGAGCAGCTGGTACAGCTGTTTACGCTCATGGCAGCGCGCAGCTACGAGGCGCCGCTGGAGCAGCAGCACAAGCGCGGACTCGTGCTAAGACGTCTAGCAGTCTGTGCAGAAACGCTGGTGCGTCAATTGTGCTCAAGATTGAGCAACTGGAGCTGTGGTACAGGGGACGCTGCTAAACAAGTACAGCATCTGCGTGCGTTGCTGGAACGCATTGTGGCTCAAGATGTAGTGGCGCTGGCTCGAGCGCCTCACGGAGAAAGTCACGGGAGCTTGAACGCGCCGTGGACGATGTTTTACCGTCCAGAAGAGAGCAGAGAGCTGAAGAAGGTGTTGTATGACAAGGAGATGGCAAAGATCTATGGCATCCTGCTCGCGCTTGCTGTCTACTTTCCCATTGAGAACAATGAGGAGGAAACATCGGACGAGTCGTCCTTTTCGGGCGACGAGGACGAAGAAGCGACAGAGAAAACAGAGAGGTCGATCAGTGCACTGGCGCAGGCCAGGCGCACGACTCGGCAGGTACTGTTCGCTGCTCAGATGCGGGAGCGCGGGCCGTGCCAAAATGGTCGATGGCTGGTGTCCGTGTTATCCTTTCTGCAAAGTGTTCACAAGCCTACGACGTATCTGGACGAAGATGAGGATGAGGCTCTTGACCCGCAGGATTGGCGTGCCTTGCTCGACTGTGTTGGCACTGTCTACTCGCGTACATTCGGCAGAGCGACGCTGTTCGAGCGAGCAAAGGAGAGCGCTACGGAAGAGAAGACTGCAGTACAGGATCGTGCTTGGTTCGAGACGGTCGCATGTCTTCGTCACGCGGCACATTTCATGCGTGTAGAGCGCAAGTCGACTTTGTCTGCCGTCACTACTGCTACGGCTCAGCTGGCCGGTGTACCGCTACCTACAAGTTTCGCGTCGTGGTTGGATCACCAGCAGACTGCGAACCCGGAGTCTGTGCTGGAAAAGGCCACGCAACGGTTGTGGAAAGAGTGTATTGACCAGAAACGGACAACAAGTATTCTGCTGAGCTCCAGTGGCGTGTCGGACGAGGAAATGCTTCTTGTTGAACGAGTGAGTGGGCTATGTTTGCGGTTTTGGATGCTATGCTGTGCTGCGTGTGTGTGCCGAGTTGAGGTGTTAACTTCTGCCATTTGTGTTTTACGTACAAAAGAGTTACTTCGCATACCTGGACCAACTCGCTGAAGGCAGGACAGACAAGATCAGTGGTCAGACGGCGTCGCCGTCCACGGTCGCAGCTGCGGATATGTCGGCTGACGCTGCCAATCTGTTCTACGTGGACAATGCTGGCGGAGATGTGCAAGAGAAGACGAGCAAATCGAAGAAAAAGCGTGCCAACAAGAAGAAAAAGCGGGCAAACAAGTCTAGTGAAGCGTCACCGGCAAAGCGGAGCCGAGCACTTGGCAGTTGAGGTTCCTCGACTGGCGGACGACACAACAAATGTGATGTCTTTGCCAGTATCTCTCCATCATGTCGACCTGCTTTCTATGCACGCACGACCTTTGCCCATCTATTGCGTTGCATACCCGACTGCATGTACAACTCATCGTTGCGACCACTGGTACTCATCTGCAAGATCAATGTCTCATTCTTCGTTAACACCTCACGTTCTTCCGCTGCAGTCAGTCTCGACTGCATTTCTAGACATTCAGAGACATTTCGTACTCCTCAATGGACTTGAACAGCGCCGAGAAGTTGCCTTTGCCAAAGCCTCCGCAGCCCGCAGCTTGCTCGAGGCGCCCGGCGATATCCCGCATGCACCCAACTCGCTCAATGATCTCGAAGAAGACAGTCGCGCGGTCGCCCAGCGGTTTGGTGAAGATTTGCAACAGAATGCCTTGTTCGTCCTTGTCGACCAGCAGCCCCAGCTGTTCGATCTGCTGGTACTGCTCCGTCGTCAGCGCGTCGCCAATGCGCTTTGGCATCTGGTCGTAGTAGACCTTGTTGGGCTTTGGCATGAACTCAAAGCCGCCCATGTGACTCCGCTTCCGCATCTCCTAAACACACACACACATACACACACACAACCAAACAACCAAACAAGTTAGCGACCCATTCACTCATTCACTCACTTACCCGCCAACTTCAGTCTCTTTTAAAGTCCTCGAAACCGCTCGTGACTCACCGCCAGCGTGTGAAAAATGTCGTTCGTCTTGAGCGCCATGTGCTGCAGCCCCGCGCCGACGTTCTGCTCCAAGTACGTCTGGATCTGACTCTTGCGCTTCGTCCCGTGCGTCGGCTCGTTCATGGGCAGCAGCACCATCTCGTTGTTGCTCGCGAGCACGAGGCTGTTCAAACCCGAGTCCAGTGTGCCCACGTCGTCGGCCGTGAACTCGGCAAACTCGTGGAAGCCCGTGAAGCCCGCGACGTACTTGACGGCCTCGAGCAGCTGCGGCACATTGCCCACGCAGTGGTCGAGGCGCTGGATGCCAATGCCGTTGTCGGGGCACCCGCACGTGTCGTAGCCGGGCACGAAGGCGCCGCTCAGGTCGCCACTGACCCACCGGATGACCACATCGCCGTAGAGCTCTACTTCCGACACTGTGGTCGTCGCGCCCGACTTGTTGTCCGTGAGCGTATGGGGCTCCAGGACACCGCGTCCGCCGTGTTGCACCGAGAGGTCGTAGGCCACCGCCGCGTCGTCGACCTCAATGCCCACGGCCCGTACGGCTAACCCGTGTTTCAAGACAAACTGCTGGGCGAACGAGGGGTCGTACCCGGGCAGGGGACTCGCGGCGTCCGGTGCTTTAGCCGTCTCGAGCGCGTACGGCGCCGTGAAGACGAGTTTGACGGCCCCGCTCTGGACCACGTAGCTCGCCGAGACGTGGTTGCCCGTGGACTGGTCCGACTTGCCCACAGCCGTCAGGCCGAGGCCCCAGGCGAAGCGCCGCGAGACGTTCGTGGCGTCGGCGCAGTAGAACTCGACGTGGTGGAACTGGTGCACGTCGAAGCGGTCGGTGCGTGGATTGAACTGCTGGAAGTGCTTGCAGCCCACGAGTTTCATTGCGGTCGAGTCGGGTGCCGGTGCCATTTTGCGCGAGTCGAAGACGGAGTCGAACGAGTGAGCGGGTGCGGCACGCGAGGGAAGATCCAAAGTGAACGAGAAGACGCGCTGCGGCTTTGGTCGGTCGTTCATTCATTCATTCATTTGGTTCTTCATTCACTCACTCACTGCTATAGTTAGTTCACTTGGTAGTTGGTTCACTACTGTAGTTAGTTCACTACTTGTAGTTGGTTCACTTGTTTGGTGGTTGTTGAGCTTGAAGCTCAGCGTGTTCAAGCGGCGTCAAAGGTATTTGATTAGCCCTCGAGCAAATCGTCGAGGAACGAAGTGACGGTTCAGTTTTTGAGATTCGCGACGCTTGGGCGAAGTTTGACGCCCCGCCACGACGTCGTTGACTGAGCGATGTAGTGCAAGAGGAGAGGACTTGGATTCCTACGGCGAAGTGAGAGAAAGAGAGGTATGTCGGAATACGCGCGCAAGATTTGCGGCGTTTGGATTTCGTTGCGACGTCTGCTCGATTTCGTTGCGGCGACTGAGCGCCAAGGGAACGAATCTTTGGCGCATGTGGATGATGTCGGTGCGTCAAGTCGGTTCCGGAAGATGCGGGGCCCAGTGAAGCAGCAACGTCTGTAGTCGATGCTGCAGAGTTAGCCACGTACAAGTGCGACGACGCATGTGTCGGTCTTCCGAAACAAGTCGTGCACCGCGAGGAGACCTGTGCACCAGAAAAGCCAGCAATGGGAGCGTTGGTCAGTGCAAGAGTAGTCATGTAACGGCGGACTGCGTGTAATAGCATTCGGCCAAAGACTTCGACAGTGAGATGCATCGCGTGCTTGAGCCACTATCGCCTGAAGCTTAGCACAAAGTCCCTGCACTTACGACTTCGTACTGACAGTGGTGAGTTCGATCGCTCGGGACGAACGAGAATGACCACACGGTTCGCGCGATGGATATCTACGGGATACTCACCCGTGTGCGTTACAGGTCAAGCGGCAGCCGAGGTTTCGGATCTGTAAGTTAGCGGGCAGCTTAATGATGTCAAACAGGCGGATCGATAGACTCGAGCGCACATGTCGAACTGGGTTATCGGATACACGTGCCCTCTGCGGAGTAATCCCCGTCAAGTCCGAAGTCGCGAGTCAGCTGGACGAGCCAGCGCGGAGAAGAACGATGTAGTCCGTGTAGAAACTATAGGCAAGTTTTTACATACCGACATCTTCGAATGGGCATAAGATCGCCAAATACAGTATGATCCCCTCTCTAGCGTGCACTCGAATGGACTGAACAGTCAGCCGGTAACGTAATTCGTTCGGTATCGAAGACGGCGCAAAATCAGGAGCGGGTCGTTGTGTTAAGCTTCTTGCACAAGGTGCGACCAGCACAACGTTTTTGCATGACAAAATGCATGGGTGTTGAAAATAGCGCGTGTGTATCCAACATTCCGGACTATGAGAAAGCTACTAAGACAGACCGTGCCAACTCGGCGGTCCCTATTTGCACTGCTCCACAAACATTGCGACAGCCAACTGTGTCGCACTACCAAGGCCGAATTACCGTCGTAATGCTGACAGTCGTCATGATGCCAGCCTTGTTGTTCGCAACGAATGTACTGAGATTTCTTCAGAGGGCGAAACTAGAGACCACGAGCTTCCAGATGCCGTTGTATGGCAATGAGAGACATCGACAATATGTAGTGACCAAAATATTGTGTACTGTCGTTTTCACCTCGCATCTCGACCGACCGATACAGTTTAAATCTTCTGCGTATGCGGAGTGTGGTATGAGTTGCATAGGCACTATAAGCTCCTTGACCAGTTTCGATTCACTTAAAGTTCAGTTCAACGATTGCACGTCCTTCTCATTGCACCAGACGCGTGGGAGCGAGCATGTGTTTTGACGTTGAAGAAGAGATATCTTACAGTAGAACCCGTCTTTGCTAGTCCCCTATTAGCTAATAACCCTTTGTAGCTCAGGACAAACATTTGCCCCAACATGGCAACCATGCACCCACTAATACTCTTTGTCGATCACGGAACGGCCCACCCCTCATACCAAATATTCTCTACTACCTAATATGTTTTTAAGTGCCCATTTGTATGAGCTAATAGATGTTCTACTATAGTTCGTACCCAGAGACTGGGCCGTCACAATATGACTTTAAAAACAGCTCTACATTGACGCGCCTTTGTCACGATACATCATACGAAGAGACGCGCTCATCTTACCTTGACGGCGGCATTGGTTGGATAGGGATATGGTGGACTTGGCCAGCTCTGCAGGCAGCGTGCTACGGATGCCAGAGCTAGAGACCAGTTCCCCTCGAAAGCTTGCTAATGCCAGTACATCACGCACTAGATACTCGCCCATTCCACGCCACTCCCCGAATCAATCATGCTCGAATCAAGTGCTCAGCGAATGTATCCTACGCAGTAGTAATCGCATTGTCCACGCTGTAAGTGACGACCTGTACCACGTAACATTTCGTGGATCTGACCGCGCATTATCTAGTACGATTGCAGCGATAGTAGTTGCTTGAACTACAACATGTTCAGTAGCTCATCGTATCACCTTCAAGTTGCCCATCTTCTCAAGTAATTGAGCAGTAACTAGCGAGTCAGTGTTTACCTAGAGCATAATGATGCTTACGGCTTCATGCATGCAACATACAATGAGAAGATGTGCAGTTTGCTGCATAGCGATTCGTGATCGCTGTTTTGAGTTCTTTCACGTCCAATCTTGCAAATTTAGTCATGTACAAACACCTGCACAACATCCAGAAGAATCTGTATTTCCGCGTCTTAAAACTGACAAAATGTGCGACTTCGCGGTATTGCGACATATATACGAATTGTGAATGACGCCGAGGCCATATCGAGCTCGTTCATTACATTTGGCAAACAAGACTGAACGACTCAATTGTCAATCGAGTGATATTCGCCACTTGTAGGCTCGATTTAGGCATTATATGATCTGACTCCCGCTGCTACTTTCGATGAAAGTGAAAGCTGATCAACACGGCGCACCATTCGACTAAAGAGTGGAAGCTAAATCGATTATAAAACTTGTATTGCTCGTTCAGCACGCAACCATATTCCGCTATCAATGCGATTATTTGACGCTTCGATGTATCCTATTGTCAGCAATAAACACAATGTTTATACATCCAAATTAAATTGAGTGAAACTGGAATTAATGTGTCGATAGGAAGAATGTGATGAGAACGTGTAATTTGACTGAATATAGATCAGGAGAAACACCGTATAGTGTGCATCATCTAGAACCTGCAACATTTCCGATCTCCGTCACTCAGCTACTGCTAACCCCATACTTTAAAATGCAAACCAAAGACCATAAATGGCTTAAACACATTATTAGCGTCATTTCTATAGTCTTTAATTTTAACATTACAAATTTCCGCGATCATATAGGACCCTTAAATTCGGTAATTATGTGAATAATGGTTTGCGGCGACCCACATTTGGCCGCCCCAAAAATCACTAAGGTATGAGTACAATTTATGGTCGAGGTTCGAATACCTTAGCTATTAATGCCGACTTCGCTTTTCGTTTTTTTGTTTCTAAAATAGCTTCAAAAGAAAAAAAGAAGACCTTGGTGTGGTATTGTAGTTGGTCAAATCTGTTCACTCACAGTCTCAAACTGCAAACACAACAATCGACGAGTTCAGTCGGCGACACGGGCTAGTGCGCGAGGGTAAACCCCTACGCAGTTCGCTCTTCGGGTTCAGTTGTGGCTTTCGCGTAACTGATTCCTTACCACCAATCCACCAGAAGCCTGCCTGAGCTCGCATCCGTTGAACCCTTCACTCCCTGTGACTTCACACCAAAGGATGGAAGCCGACGCAGTACGCGATTTTACAGGTCACCAGGCGCAGTGAACACCCGACTAGAAGTTTGGGGTTCCCCTAGGCTGAGGCCCACCGTCTTGTCACTCAGACAAGTCTTTGGAAAACGGGGCCTTCTATAAAGGCTCTCCGGCTCATCGTTGACGAGGCTCACAATGGTCCCTTTGCTGAGATTACCAGCTCGTCGACGACGAGACTTCTTCTTTCGCTAGTAGCAAGCGCTGCCCAACCCGGGCTTTCCTGAACGCTTGAAGCTACCAGTCGATACCTCTACAAGATGTGCCTCTCGCGGTTCGACGGCAGGCATGATCTAGTCCACGCAGGGTCTTACCTTAATTGTACGCGTGTCTTTGACTTAGAAAATTCTGCACTGTGTTGGCCTGACTTTTTTGCTATATCTCAGAGCGAGTTTGAGTGGCTCTCTGTCTTTCCCTAGTTCTTATACATACAAAATGATGAATCTGTCGTTCGATCTTCTCGCATTTTACACTGTAAACAGAGTTCGGCAACATCTGGATCGACGACGCTTGGTCACCTACACTTGGATTGCCGACACTTGAGTTGCCGACAATTGAGTCGCCGACGCTCGAGTCGCCGACAATTGAGTCGCCAAAACTTGTGTCAACGACACTCCAGCTCCGACACTCAAGTTGCCTACACTTCGGTCGCCAACTCTTGACTCACCGGCTCTTGGTTCTCTTGCCCCACACTGATATAGAGTATTAAAATTCTCTACACCACAATTGTCCCAGTAGCAATACTAACCTAACGGGCGAGTGTTTCGACCATTTTTTTCGTCTTTACTGTTGTTCGTCATTCCGGACCGGTTTCGCTGTAATATGGTAAAACCGCCATAATGCTGCTCTCCTTACTTATCGTTGTGGCTGTTGAATTGTGCTCTGCTTTGTGGTATGTTCTCTGTTGTCCATTTGAGTCTGTCGACGACACACCATCGACGACTCACGAGACGCGACTTGGAACTGATCCGCAGTCGTCACCCACGCTTTATTCGTCCGCTTCATCGGTAGCAGACAGATAACTCGTGACTGGGGATCATCTTCATCTTCGACTACATCCGTGGGTGAATCGTACAGCTTGGACGACGGACTACAAACTTCGTCGAAACAGGCTTCTTTTGGCCCTTCTCTGTCTGGCATCGTCCCTG